ATTAATAACAGCTCGGGTAGGAACCTTTACTTCCTCTCCTTAACGTTGTTCTTGCACAATATTCCGGAATCATAGCATATTTGTAGGATTTTGGATAAATGTCATCTTATTCCTTTTTCATTTTGATCCCATTCTTCCTTTGCCATTCACTAGAACCACTTAATTCTGATTTAATGGCACATCACTCCATATTCCCTCTTTTTAGGGGAGTACTAAGAGCTGAAGCCATGGGGATCTACCTATAGATGTGTTACCTCTTCATCTTTAGCGTTGTTTCACAACATTAATTATCCTTACTCGCCTTGCGGCAGTCTTTTTGTACCAGGGATAATAATTTCCCTTACTCGCGATGATGACACTTATTGCAACTAGCACATGCAGTCCCTTAAGCTTAACTTTGCTCGCATTGCTTGCTTTAGGGAAGCGTCTTCCTGAATGACCTTTCTTAGAATTTCTTATGAATCTTCTTTTGTTGTCCATTCTATTATGGCCAGAACGCAATCTAAAATTCTCATGATGCCGGCCATTATCAAGTCACTCAGTCTTTAGTTCATGGTTACTTTACCTTGTTCACCAATCCATGCTGATTTTTATTACTCTGAGGTCTAACGCTCCCTTTCGGGTAGTCGCGTTGGAGTCACAAACTTATTTCTCAAAATGAGGATATAACTTTATGGCCTACACCCTTTTGTTATCTCAAGTCCTGGCTCCTCTCGTCTATTCCTTCACTTAACTATATATCATATAATACTGTCCTTCATTTTTTTCCATTGTCATCCATGCATCACATCTTACTCTTAACGCTTCATTAACTCTCTTCTCATTTTCTGCTAACATTTCTATCTAACACTTTATTTTGAAGATTTCCACAAGACATTCCTTTGCTTTTAGCTCCACTTGCTCCATCTACTGACTCTTCGGGTTGCCTAGTATTCTTTCTTTGCTAGGGACGGGAGCCATACTAAGGTAACATTTATCCTTTCAAGGCTTCCAGTGCCTATCTTTATAGTACTCATATCTAGTTGTAGTATTTCAGAGTGTGTCATCTGGGGGTCTCACAGGGAGATTTTGTTAGCACATCTGTAATATCCTTTGGAAATGTCAAGTGACACAAACAATTCATCCATCATATCTTCTTATACTACTTCTATTAACCCTCATACGGCATATTTGGAATGGGTGAGACCAATTGTATATACCTCTGTTACTATTGAATATAACTCAAAAAGTTTTTGTTCCTCCGCCTTAATTATAAATGTTGTTAACCTTCATTAACTGGGTACCTCGTACCCTGTTTCACCTTGCTCCTTTTACTTGCTGAAACTTGTACTTATCTTCTTAATCTCTCATTGTCCTTTACCATAAAGGTGGAAAGGCATCCTTGCCTTAAGGCATCTTATCAGGAAGCTTACACCTTTCAGTACACACATGATCTACTGAAGATATCAAATTTCTTATCATGAACATGATACAAAGTCAAGTTCCTCTAATTCAATACTTTCACAGCTATATCTCTTATCGATCATCTTTCTGAACGTAGGCACTGTCTTACTATGAATAAAAATAGAAGTTCGGGACTTGAATTCTTATAAGTGAGCTCTACCACACGATCTAGAGTAAGAAGAAAGAGTGACAATCTTAAATGCCTTGTAGCCTCCTGCTTATAAGTGTGGTGCACGACACACCCATAAACAAGACTATACTAGACACGGCTTGTAGACTCCCTAGGATAGAACTGCTCTGATACCACTTTTGTCATGACCCAAACTGATGGGCCGCGATAGGCACCTGGTACCTTACTCAACCAAATACCAACGTAATGCATCTTTCTTATTACATCATCATATACATGTGACATACGGGCCTAATAGGCCAACATAATCATTTATTAACTCAAAACATAGGCCGACAAGGCCGTTCAATCTTTCACGTACACAACATATGTCTACAAGCCTCTAAGAATACATAAATGTCATAAGGGTCGGGACATAGTCCCGCCATAGCAAATAATACACGTCTAAATCATATTAACCAAACGAGCAACTCCGAAGCAAATGGAGCGCACCAACATCTTTCGCTGAGCTGATAGCCTACTTGGAGGGATCTCAACCTGTCTATCGGGACCTGCGGGCATGAAATGCAGTGTCCCCAGGAAAAAGGGACATCAGTACGAATAATTTACCGAGTATGTAAGGCACCTAAATAAATACATAAGAGATATGGAATACATATAGAGTACATGACTCAACCTGTAAGTTTGAATAACTTTGTAAATCATAAATTACCTTTAACGTCATGCATATGCGTATGAATGTCATGTCATGCATAGGTACATGTTTCATAATATCATCAGCCTCGGAGGGCATCCCATCATATCATATCGGCCACTGTGGGAAAAATTATCATCGTATACCAGCTGATCAGGAGGTGGTACGTATATAACGCCATAACCTTTCCCATATTCCATATACATATATACATACATATATACGTGTATATAACGCCATTTGAATTATATTTACATATATATGTTTATATAATGCCGTTTGAATCATATTTCGGCCACTGTGGGCAACATCATCATCATATACCAGCTGATCAGGTGGTGGTGCGTATATAACGCCGTAACCGTTTCCCATATCCCATATACATATATTTACATATATATGCGTATATAACGCCATCTGGTCATGGTTCAATGTATATGAATGTAATGCATGAAAAGTACGTCAATAAAATCACTCGGAAGGTCATAAGACCACTTTGCCTCTTGAGTAATATCATAAAGTAACATCTTTTCAACTTTCGTATTTTTCTGAGACCCATGAACAGATGATAAAATATTATGACCCATGGGAATTAAAAGAACATAGATATTTCTATTACTTCTATGAGTAGAGTCACTTATGGAATTTGTGCATTTGCACGTTTCGTTCATATCGTATGGATCGTGCGTAAAGAAAGAAGGGATAGCCTTAACATACCCGGAGTAGAGAAAAGACATCTGTGTGATATTCTTGAGAAGGATTGCACCGTACTTCTCTTATAACTCATTCAGAAATTCCACTGCCACTTTTGCCAAAGCATTAGAGAATGACGATGACCATGCTATTCTTATTTGCATTCATGGTTGTATATAATTTGCTAATGACTTAGCACATAATTGTCAGCAAAATAATTCTTGATTTTTCAGATTTTTGTAGCTTAACTTCAATGCCTTTGTAGTATTGTCTACTCTTTGTCAAAGTGGGTTTGATCTCCCTTTAAGAAGTGTTAGATATGGCTAATATTTTCCACTTCTTACATGTAAAATGGATGAAGAATGTTATCCATGTGCCTTCTGATTACATGATTTAAAATCAAGAGTCACTTAATAAAGTCCCAAGGGCTGCCACATTTTCATGTCATAGTCTTTATCCAAAGAATTTAATTGATCCACCATCAATTATTAATTAACTAGGCAATGTCTCATTACTAATACTTAACCAATTACCCGCAAAATTAAGAATTATTCCCACTTACTTAAAACATTACTCACTTTTTATATACCTTACTAGCATGGTCATGTAGTACCTTGTATGGTACTAGTCCATAAAGACCGAGCATTTTAGCTTGAGCCGTATTTTATCCCAATATGCCAAACTTGGACAAAAATTCGTTTTCTTTGACTTGCTTTCCCTTTTATCTTTACGAATTTACTTATTACTTGCTAGAAATAGCATGATTTTTATAATCTCCAAGTAATCTTTTCCTTGGACTGATGTCAATTACTTTACGAAAAATTCAACGTACAACATTACAGGGTGCAACATCGTCGTAATGTAGTACTGCGGGATGTGATATCTCACTTCCGGGCTCTCATTAATTTACTTATGGCGTATTTTCCATGTACGAAAATATGGGGTGTAACAATGTTGATGCTGGCTATGCAGGTTTTCTTGTGGATAGAAAGAGCACCTCAGGTATGGCTTATTTTCTTGGTTCATGTCTTGTATCATGGGCCCCTAAAAACCAGAATTCAGTGGCCTTATCCACTGCTGAGGCTGAATATGTTGATGATGCCTCTTATTGTGCTCAATTGCTGTGGATCAAACAGCGGCTGATAAATTTTGGCATTGAAGTTGGTCGCATTTCTATCTTCTGTGATAATACTAGTGCCATAAGTATGACAAAGAACCATGTTCCTCATAAGAGGACTAAGCACATGTTAGACACCACTTCTTAATAGATAACTATGAGAAAGGATTGATCACCATAGAATTATGCGCTACTGATAAATAAATTGCTAACATCTTTACTAAAGTACTGAGTAGATAAAACGTTGAAAGGAACAAGTTGGTATTAGGAATGATTAAGATCACCTAATAGGACCAGCTCAGAATGCACAATGAAAAAAATTGGAAAAAAAAATTTTGGCTAGGAAATCTGAACTTGTGTAAATATCTAGATTAATTCTTACTCAACTTCATACTATAATTAGTATACTCCTATGACATGTGTTAATATGACTCACTGATCTCTTACAAAATTTTCTCTATTGTGGTAAATTGAGGCATGGTCAAGAGAATTCTAAATGAAGAACCTGGTTCATTAGTATTGGTTCATCTGAATGCTAAGGTATGTTTTTTATACTCTTTACAATTAGAAATATCAATATTTAAATCATGAGTAGAAGTCCTACAATTGTTCAACTCCTTAGAAAATTTTATCTGTTTATTTTTTAACCAGTTTCGTCCGCATTAGAACTCTAAAACACAAAATTTGCCTAAAATATAGGGAAGCTTAAACGTTCATTCAAACTAGAATTTTCAGGTTGATTAGACCTCTAATTGACCACTGCTAAAGATACCGGTATACATTAAATGTGTATTTCTCTTTAAATACGCATCATTACCTCCTGCCATCTTCATAATTCTAAACCATCAAAAACCCTTCTTCACTTTCAATTGCTTTCTTCTCCAAAGTTCTAACTCACCAATTCTCTCAAGAAATCAGCGATAATGACAAACCCACAAGACAACCCTGGAACTCCTCCACATCCCACTCCCTCTAATTCATCTACCTCTCCTCCACCTAGCACGACTCCCAAACCCAGGCTGAGAAGGGTAAAAATGTTGGCTCGAAAGATATTAGCTTCTGGGGCTTTCTCGAGGAAATTGAATGAGCAATTAAAGGCAAGTCAGACTAAAGACTATGATTCTAACTCTAATTTTGAGTCGTACAAATCTGCTAGTGAGGGGGAAGGATCTGGGTCTTCTGACTCTGAGAAGGCTCAAGAATCCCCTTAAAAGGTAAGATCTTATTTGACAGAGAATTTAGAAAATAAGTTTATCTTGGTTGAGCCTATCAGGGATGTGGAATTACCTAAGTTAAGACGAAGTGGAGGTAAAAATAAATCTGAAAAAGAAAAAGAAAGAGAGGGTGAATGTGGTGACGAGAGGGGAAAAGGAAAAGAGTGGTTGATCATTCACCCACTGCTGATTTGTCTGTACCTGCTATTTGTGGGGTTGAACAAGAAAATGTTGAAGAGAGTGGCAAGAAGTTAAGGGGAAGTAGTTCTGGTGAAGTTGCTGAAGGGTTAGTTAATTTAAGAGCACAGGGAGATGAACTCGGTTCATCAACTGAAGAGACCCTAGCAGACCTATTAAAAAAGGTAGGGGCAAGTTACGATCAAAAGAAAATGAGAACTGCCACACCAAAATCCCCCAGTGCTCCTAAACCCTCCAAGAAAAGAAAGACTTCATCTCCCACAACTACTGAAACTTCCTTGCCAAAGGGAAGATCCACAAGAAACAGGGTGAAACATAGTGAGAGTGATCTACAAAAGGCTCTGGCTGAAAGTAAGAAGAAAAGGATTGCCAAATAAAAGGGTAAGGTTGTAGAGTCCTCAGAATCTGTTGATATTGAGGAGATGGAACAGATCCATCAGGAGGAAGTTACAACAGTGGAGGTTCAGACCCCCAAGCCCAAAAGGCCCAAGATTCTTCCAAGAAGTCTTCCTCTGTGTCTGAGGCTATTGAACCCTCATTGGCCAAGAGGACAAGGTCTGTAGTGAAAAGTAAACAAGTTAGAGTTTCTGAAGAGAAGGAATGGAGTGGTGAAGAAGAAAGTGAGTCTGATGGTGAACAAGACAAGCTGGCCAAGTTTGGCAAGAGAAAAATTTTGAAGGGTAAATTGCTGAAAGACCTGGTGGAACCAGGAATGATGATATTGGTGGATGCCTTAGCTGCTTAGGGCTGGAAAGACATGTTCTTTCAAATGGATGGAAGGCTAGCCAGGAATGAGATCATTGTGTTCATGGCAAATGCAGAGGTTAAGGATGGCAGAGTTAGCAGCCTAGTGAAAGGAGTTCATGCGACCTTTGATGCAAAGAAGCTAGGTGAGATCCTTGGCATACCCTCTGAAGGGTTTGATGACTATACAAGGCAAAAGTGGCCATGTCTGGACTCCCTTCCTACTTCCCTTGAAATTACCAGGAGGTTTTGTGATGCTGCAGATATGAATGAGGCTAGGGTTGTTCAAAAGAGTGAAATGAGGCCACAACACAAAGTCTTATTTGAATTTGTCAACAAGTGTTTGCTGCCTCGACAGGAAAGGAGGCACACTACTAACTACATGGACTTGGTACTAATGGAGTGTCTTGAAAGAACAAGGTAGATCAACTGGCCTACATTCATTATCAAGCTGCTAGACAGGGTTATCAATGGCTCCAAGGTCCATGTCACTCCTTATGGGTTCATTTTGACTATTGTTCTTGATCGTTGCAAGGTGCCACTGAAGAAGTGGGAAATGGCCTCGACCAAAGATCACTTTGGAATCAACACTTTGATTTCCTGTGATTATGAGATCACTGCCACTCCTAATGAAACTAGTTCATCCAAGAAGACACCTATAAATAGCAAAGTCAGAGCCCTGGTGCAGCAGAGTGGAGCAAATGATGCTGAGATAGCTAGGCTGAAGGCTTGCTTAGCTGAGGTTGAATCTGAGAGGGATGCTCTCAGAACTGAGCTCACTAAGGAAAAAGAGAAAAATGATGGGGTTCTTCAGGACCTTTCTCCAAGCCCAAAACTAACCCTCTAGCTCTCCCAAGCCTTCAAAATTCTAGCCTTTATCTCCTGAACCTGTCTAGTACCTTCAGTGACCCGGATTAGGGATTTTTCTTTCTTTTTGCTCATGTTTTGAATGTTTTTGCTTTCTGGTTGTGTATTGTGGTAGCAACATATCTTCTATCAATGATATCTACTATTTTTGCTCTTGTTCAAGGTTAATCTTTCCTTGATAGTTTAAATATGTTTTTTTGATTACTGATGATTAATCCATGATTGCACTTGTAGTTGCCCCAGTGGCCATGAGTACTTATTAAAATCTGGGACTCGCACTTTGTATGCAACTTTTCGATGATGCCATAAGGGGAAAGAGATATTTTACTTTACATATTCTTAATAAGTGATATTTATAACCTAATTAACGTGGTCTTTGATGATAAGTAAATTTTCTAAACTTTATGTTGATGGTTAAGCTGAGTTCTAACATGATCCAAGTAAATAAAAAGCACAGAGTTTGTCATCATTAAAAAGCGGGAATTTGTTGGCCCAAGTATAGGTGAAGTTTTGAAGACTGACAAAAGAACTCAGACATAGACTAGGTCCATTTTGTGAAGCACAGTCATGATCAACCCAAACATATGAGATGCACGTGAAGGAGATAAATTTAACTTATCAGAAGTAATATCTCCTGATCTGATCAAAAAGGTTGCATATTGGATAAGGAGAGAAAGACTCCTTACATGAAGAGAACACAGTTTACGAAGAAGATAGTGTTAGAGTATGAGATCAACTACAACTCTTCTACGATAGAAGAGTCGTATCTGAATCCCAGTCAATCTCTAATTACTAACCCATTAAATATTAGTTATGTTCTCTTTTACAAGTAATGCACATAAGCAGAAGTTAAACTTAAATTGAGAGCAAAATAGCAAGGAGATTTTGCAAGCAATTTATGTGTGATTCAAGTGTGCAATCCTGAAGCTACTTGAACGAGATAGAAGAACCAGTTCCAAGTGTCTATCTTTTATTCTAGTTCAATTGTAGTAGGTGATTTTACATTGTACTTTTCAGCTTTTATAGAAGTAATTGTATTAGGTACTTAGAGTTTTCAAGTTAGAGTTAACTTGAAGTTGTCGCAATAGTTGAGGCTGTGTGCCACAACGGGATTAGAGTTAATCCTAGGTTTACAAAAGAGTTTTTGTAAATGCAGTTTTTAGCTCAGTGATTTTAGTGGAAGTTTGGGAAAATCCTACCGAGTAGTAGGTCATAGTTTTTTCACCTTTTGAGCCAGGTGTTTTTCACGTAAAAATATCTGTATTCTTTATTTTCTTTACTTATTATTCCGCATACAGTAGTAGTTGGAACACATAGAAGAACCAGGTCCTTCTATAGTTCAGTTAAGCAAAAATTGGGTACCACACAAATCACCCCCCCCCCCCCCCCCCCCCTCTTGTGTGGTATTGAAGTATAAAACATCATAAATCAATTGATGCATGCACATACACCCATCACCTAGCATGTGCGTCACCTCTACACAAAAAACATTACACGTATATTTAGGGGTTCATACCATCAACACCAAGTTTAGAAGTGTTACTTACCTCGAACAAGTCGAATCCAATACTAAGCAAGCCACACAATACTCTAGAAATTCATCGCGCGCATATCAACTTTTAAACGGCTCAAAACTATCCAAAATCAACTCAAGAACATCAAATAATTCCAAAGAAAACAAACTCAATCGATAAAGGTCGAATTTTTAATCAGAACCCCAAAGTCAACAAAAAAGTCAAACCCGAGAAAACACCTTAGAATCCAATAAAACTCAAAAAGTTTGATAACTAATTCAATTATGAGTCCAACCATACTAGTTTCACTCAAATCCGACTCTAAATCAATGTTCAAAACTCAAAAATTCACTTTATGAAATTTTAGACTAAAACCCCCAAATTTCACTTTGAAATCATCAATCAATTGCCAAAACGAAGATAGATTCATTAAATATAATCAAAACCGAGTATAGAAAACTTACCCATATCCATGTGGTGAAAATCGCCTCCAAATTCGCCCAAATCCAAGCTGCCCAATTCAAAATATGACCAAATGAACAAATCATCGACATTATATGCTTCTACCCAGATGTTCTGCCTTGTTTCTTATGCCAAACGATCCTGAAACTTGCTTTTAATGTCTCCAATGGATTCCTCGTGAAATTTCAGTCAAGTTAGGATTTTGAATCACTCCATGTGACTGTATAATGAAGGATATATATTGGTTTCAATATTTGAAAATAGTGCATATTTTTAAATACGAATTCAGTGGCAATTTCGTTATTAATATGAAAAATCTAGTAACCCAACTCTTAGTAAAATGATCATAAAGTCCATATACGATGTCAAAACTTAATGATTCCAATTTTATTGTTCCAAAATTACGATATGGATATAATGGTTTTGTCGAAACACGAATCAAAGGCTTTTTGCTCAATACGGTAACCCTTATGTTCAAACTCATCGAAATTTAACCAAACTTTGTAAACATGTCCAAAATCATCATACAAACTTATTGCAATAACTAAATCCCAACTTCGTGTCTGTTTACCCAAAAGTCAAACCTTGGTCAACTCTTCCAACTTAAAGCTTCTAAAACGAGAATCATTCTTCTAAATCAATCCTGAACCGCTCGAAAATCGAAACCAGCCATACATGCAAGTCATAATACATAGTATGAATCTACTCGGAGTCTCAAACCACTGAATGGAATGCTAAAGCTCAGAACGTCCGGTCAGATCGTTATATTCTCCCCTACTTAAACATATGTTCGTCCTCGAACGTGCCAGGAGTCGTACCAAAGCCATCAAATCGCCATATACCCTCACCATACATATGACCATGGGTGAACCCATGTCATCCCAATCAATATAAGCCCGGCAACACCACCTAACAGAGGATCCTTAGTTCAACCTTAGTCTATAAACATTAAAACCCAAATCCCAACATCCAGAACTCATTATATGACCTGATTCTTGCATCTATGCACCGTATAACTCTGAACAAGTTGTACCAATCCATAACATATCTCAATACATAATCACATGATATGCCACATAACTCAAATACTCATAGCAATAACTTCCGACCGCAATAGCTGCTCGATAACCAATCCGACACCGGTAACAAACCTCATATCAACTAAAATCTTGTTCTGAATCTTCGTACACTGCCAATGATGAAAGAAATATACAGAAACTCATAACCACCCATCAGATTAAAAAGTTATGGAGCTCTCTTGCCCGATAAGAACCATAGCCAAAATATAAGCTGACTAGTGACACAATTCTTGCAAACATACCTTAATTAGATCTGATGGCACTCATTTCAGGCCCAATGGCCTCACCTCATCCAGTACAAGCTATTTGACCTACCTATCACACAAATCATACTTAGAGCCACATACCATTCAATTTGTGCACCAACGAACAATAACTCAATTATACCCAATAATTGAAAGAAAATGGAAATGAAGAAACAATCCCGCCAGCTCAACAGATACCACCACGAAGCGTGATGCAATCAATCTACCACACAAGTGTAAACATAACACATGAAATAAGTACAAAGGATCATATCCTAGCATAACGCCACTGCAATGCATGGCCTAATACGAACACCCGCCCATATGAAATACCTCATGCCACAATGCTCAAAATCAACAACCACACGCAATTCGACATCAAGTACACAAATTGTATGACCATAACCATGGAGAAGCGAATAACACAATATACCATAGCCCGAAAAGACCATAACGAAGGCGCAAGCAACCATTCAACACCCTAATAACCACTTCCTCAAATTCCGCTATAAGGCCCAAACAAAACCACATCGGGTGTGCATATAACCAACAAATCACAACCCCTCATAGCATAGAAGAGCAACACATAGAACATATCAGAACACGAACAAGATCAACTCTAAATGAATGATACACCTTTCAGCAATAACGGTGTTGAGTCAACAAATCTGACTCGGTGTAGAATACACATGTTTATTGAGCCTACCAATAGGCCCCAAATCAACTCCAGTCATCCCCAAATGGATAAATAGCCCTCTAATAGTCCACAATGACCTAACCATAGCACGTACTACCATCTACCTAACTTTGACCACATCTTCACAGTTCGCAACC